TTCAGGTCATCAATAAAATGTTGGTGGAGATATGTAGACGACAATACGTTAGTAATAATGACAGGGAACAATGTTGGGAAATTCTTCTTACACACATAAACAATCCTGTGAACTGAGTAGAATTCACAATATGGAAGTAGAGAATGAAATTGAGGAACTGGGTGTGTTAGACTGCAAAGTACAAAGAGTAACAGATGGTAGGTAGCATGAAAACGACTCTGTATAGAAAAAAAACTACACATTATCACTCAGCCCCATGGACTCACGGTAAAACGAGAATTAATAGAAGGTCTTGCAGATAGAATACGTAGACTAACAACAACAACTACAACAACAGAGAACCAGCGTAAAGAAATAAACGTCTTATTCACAGTGTTACTTGACAACAACTACCCAGACGAATTTATCATAAATAATATGAAAAAGAGGGTAAAACTAGAGAATGACACGTAGGAGGATGGCGAAAAGACGATCAGAATACCATAGAAAAATGGTACATCAGAGGCGATTCGAAGAAACCTCAGGAAAGTATGGGGATTCGCATCACGTTTAAATTAACGAATCTAATTAAAAATAAAATAAATCAACTGATAGATCCAATAAAAATGATGGATAAAAGTAGTAATGTAATTTACAAAATATCTTGTGTCGAGTGTCCGACTCAATGTGTGGGTCAAACGTTCAGATCACTGAAAATAAGAGTGAATGATGATGATGATAAACGCCTAACTAAAGGTCAACCAACAGGAAGGAACACAAGCTTACAAGAATTTAGAATAAAATTCATGTCTAGCTGCACATGCATGGAACAAAAGCCAGAATATTGATTGGAACAATGTTTGTATTCTGAAAACTACTACGAACAAAAGCAAAGTGAGACTTACAACCGAATCTATATTGATTAAGATCACTCCAGATGCACGTGACAAGAGTGACTCAGTAGCACAACTGTCAACAACCTGGAATATAATTCTGAATACACAAAAATGAATGGAGAAAGAAATAATGAACTATTTATGGATGAGTACAAATCATAAATGTGTGAACTCAAACAAACCAAACAATTCCAATACAGTTGATGTGTGATCACGGGCAGTAATTTTGCTCGAAATATTACCAATAACAAAAGTTATCATTGTGTGCAAACTATTGAAGTATAATTATACTTTATTTGATGTATTTCACAATGTGTGAGCATGAAATAATATCAATAATGAGTAGTTCAGTGAAAATGCATAGAGGGTATTGCATGCTTTAAAGATGATGCAAATATCTATTTATATTATTGTATTCTGTTCTCCTTCCATCTCATGGAATCTTCTGCCAATAAGTTTCTTGAACATCACAAGGACACTTGAAGTAATTTGTTGAGTGGATTTGCTTTTCGTTGTATTTGGGACTTGTCAGGTGGATTTACGTGCATTGCGCAGTGAGTAGGATATTTTTCCCACTGGGGCTCGAACACCAGTACGCGTCATTTGAAACGCTAAAGCCTTAACCAGTGAACCACTTGGGCCACCACGTCTTGCGCAATCGGTATCAATTATTGCTTACTTTTAGTACGATTTTGATTCGACCAAAATGTTCAGTCTCTGTTGATATGTCGGCTCCTTGTGTGGGTGCTTCGCCAATATTTGATAATTAACCTGAAGTAATTCAATGGTGACTGGCAGTGGAACGCAGGATGCACATTTCAGACTGTTTGGGACTCCTCGGTACACTGTGTTGACTGCTTAGGATTTCACAGAATTATGTCATTTCATGTTAATCCTACATAATTAGATCGGTGATAATGTCATCGGTGTGGGTAAAATCTGTTCTCTTGAGCCACTTAAGTTATTATCAACCATCACTACTAACCGAACTCTTAATGAATTACTTTCTTTAGTGTATACTATCCATTCAATCGTGCTTGTTACGTAATTTTCTTGGCTTAAACTTTTTCCCTGTGGTATTACAATTATTATTATTATTATTATTATTATTATTATTATTATTATTATTATTATATAGGCATACGTTTTCCTTGTGAACAATGTGATAAAAAATTCGCCTCAAAAGCTCATCTTAGCCAACATGTGGCAGCAATTCATCAAGGTGAGAAAATATCTGCGTCTCTTATATTGTTTTTGTGATGCTTTCAACTTATGGCCTTTTTCACTTGTATGGACAATATTCATGTCGTTAGGTGTCAGCCAGTGAAGAATAGTCTTTTCGTAAATTCGCTTGAAAGTTGTACAGTTATGCATATACAATATTTGATGAAAAGGTTAGATGGTTTATTCCTTTACGTTCCCAACGGAACATAGCACTGCTGTTTATTTATATATGGTATGGAGTTGGTAGCCTGGTGCCCAATCTTCCCTCTGTATACCAGTATGATTCCTGGCCTAGGGAGGTAGAGGAGTGCGTCCGTCGTCCGGGTATTGAACCCCGGACCACCTGAGGTGTGGTTGATGAGCGTTTAACCGTTGTTCCACCGACGCACAACATCAGTTGGTAACCGAACACATGAAAATTTCTGTCAGTAAATTAAGTAAATTACGCGCGTAATCTGAAGTCATGAATTGGTTGAGTATCGCTGAGAAATGACTACCAGTGAAAGGAACTTCAAGCTATTATTTATAGGATTAACAAATTCAGGATATTTATATAGAGTAAAGAGAAAGTGGACAAACCAACTACTCGATACTTCAGCACTCTTGTTCTTACAAATCATATTCCGAATTTAATGGAAAAAAATCTTCAGTGAAATTTGTCGGAGTGGCTCTTGAGTGTGTGTTTTTCCACATCGAAAGTTGTTAATGCGCAGAAGAAACAGCCGAGAATGTTGTACACAGAAGTGGTGTGTGGTTTTTTGTCAGCTTTAAATAATTTTGCTTGTAATCCATTGCTATTCATTCGACTATGTACTTGGTCCTAGGTTTTATGTTCAGCCGATGCACTCCTAAACCTTGCTCAGCCGGTAGCATGCCTTTGGAAGAGTGGACGCTGAACGTGATGCTGGTGATCGCCTCACGATAACTGATCCAGCTCTGACCTGACTGACGGATTTCAACATAGAACTTTGCACCGATGTGCAGCAGTTAAAGTCGCCACACTCCCTCTATACAGCACACAAAGCAAGAGAAAGAAGCAAAAACACATTTAAAACAGAGATAATAAACAGAGATGTGAAGGAAAAAGAATAGTAATATCGAAAAACAATATAGTTTCATTGGATATTATAAGTCCCAAGGAGTGGATGCATCTGAACCGGCCAGCCATTGAGAACGATCACTTTGAGCCATATCACCGATCGTCTCCAGCCTTCATTGGTGTTTGCCGTCCTGAGGAACCCAACCACGAAATCTACACCTTCTGATGTGGCCTAAACTGACTGTTGTGGATTTCATTGACTGACTGATGAAGCCCTGGTTTGGTTTGACCACCGGTAGTTCCTTTCCAGTCTGACCCTATATCAGCTACATTGCCCATTGTGGGAGAATGTGATGGCTAGGCATACGTAACACATATCCTAACTATCTCAATCGATGTTACTTTACAGTCTCGTCTACTGATTTTCCATCTCACTTACCTAGCACTGGACCGATGCCTCACCTCAATATTGCTCACCTTGTTATACCACTTCACACGGGAGATCGAACGGAGTCATCTATGATCAAAGACAGCTATCCGGCCAGGCTTTTCATGTCTTCCAATAATCTCAGCGGCCATGTCCCACAGCTAGCCATAAAGGAGGACGAAGCGGACTCCTGAGCAGTGCACACGTCCTTTGGTTGACAGTCAGCTGGACATCACGTCTACTAAGCCAGAAGCGGTGTAAACTGGCATATGCGAAACCAGCCTTCTGTATCCCTGCTGAGATTTCGTCAGCGACCAACCTATTGACTCTGGCTGACGCAACTTCCCAAATAAGTGAAGTGGTCAACATGCTCCACCAACGACTTCACTCCCTATTTCTAAGCTAGAAGTCAATGTAGTCCAGTCCTGTGGAAGATCGAATACCAATCTTGATTCTGGGTGCACATTAGTTGATACAATCAATATATATAACATATGTCAGTTTGTTTGGTGACTATGTTGACCAACGAAATGCAGAGAATAAATGCCACCTTCAAGTTTACCCTCACAATTATCGTGGTCGTAAACACGACATTTTTTCGTCAACAGAATTACTGAGAATTTCTTCAAGACACTTCACTACAGTTTTTGTAGGCAGTATGCAAGTCTCCACGAAGCGGATAAATCTCCCTGTCGTTGGATTTCTTCATCAAAATAGAAAATGTCGTGGAATACAAGTCGAAATGGAAGACTTTGTTGCGCTAATAGTCACTTTTCGTTAATCACTTACTTTGTGGTGAGAGCTGTCTGCTAGCCAGAATTGGCAGACAGCAATTTACGTCAATATTTACGTCCCAGGTCTTGGTCATGAGAAGAAAACACGAACAAAGACTAACTCAACAACTGATAACAGCAGACTTTTAGTGAGCGGATGCGGTTCTCATATATATTGTCTGACTTTGAAAGAAGCGCCCGCAAGGAGATGACAGCGAGGAAACAAGCAATCGGAAGACGCTGTTTCTCTGCTAATAGTAACATATAATAATGTACATGTACAATGTATATATAAATATGTGTTGATTTTCTCAATAAACGATCTGTTGCCTGGCGGCCCTTGTCTCCCGTCGTTACAAGTTAACGATATAAAAGAGTAGTGCACACATGGATTTGAGGCAATGACGTATAACTAATTTTGATAATTAGACTTCATGTTCACACATGATTTGGAGGCCAGAATTCTAACCTCTAGCTTGTAAATTACTGATAATCCAAAGATCTATCAAGTGACCTTTGGAACCCTGACTGATGTCATTGCACTAACCACAAGTGGTCAGCCCAGCTGTCTGTGTGTGTGTGTAATCGATAATACCCTTACTGTATTTATTGATTATCACATTACCACCTATTTATTGTCATTTTCTTCTCAATTTTAACAGGAATGAAATTTACGTGTGATTTATGCGATAAGAAATTTTCAACAAAACGTTCAAGCGATCGACACATCAAAACTGTTCATGAAGGTATTTTTGAATGACTATTTCTTAAATTTGTTTACGAAACAATTTTTCTAAATATGATTCTATGTATGTGTAAACAGCGTCTATATGACATTATAATTGGGTGAAGTAGAGAGCACTAGCGAAAAGAAGCGAATCTGTTTGAATGTATTGATAAACTTCAGTGCTACAACTGACACTTTTTTAACATTAACTACCACAGATGAAATGAGATAGTCAAAGGTAGGTGGTACCTTTCCATTAACTGAGAATTCTTCTATGTTTGGAATGATAATAAACCCCATTAAGACGGGTGATTGATATGTATCCACATATATATATATATATATATAATATATATATATATTTATGTGTGTGTGTATTTTGGTCTCTCTTTCTGTTTGCTCGGTTAGTCTGTGACCACTTCACTTGTATGAACTTGTCTCCTTTAATAATGTGTATTCTCCTTATATTATATTATATATAATATGAGTGTTTGTTGACAGTCCGTTGCTTAGTGACATATATCCATATATGGTTGTTGACATGTCTGCTATATTCGCTATGTATATTTGGATCGACACTCCATTATAATTAGCCATTCATGTTAAGACTGTCTAATGATTTGTTCCCACGCTTTGTCTGGAACATTCATATATATTTCGCATACACAATTTGTGTGAACTACTTTACTTACTTACCACTTTGGTGTGAGACCATTTTATTTTCGTCTCCTTGTGTTTGGACAATAGAAGTATCATCGCAAACCTAGTGGTCTTCTGATTTCCGCCTTCTCGCGTCAGGACTATTAGTTTCTCGACCAGACCATAATAACAATTTAGCGACGAGTACATAACAATTTGGCGACGGGGAAAACTACTATTAACCACTCAGCAGCAGCAACATAACAATTTACTATGGATCCTTCTAAATTGGAATTATTGTTTGAACGACAAATGAAATTAATGGAAATGTTCGTCAACCAACAGACTGGTCCAGCTTCACCTTCAAGCAATCCCAATCATACCATGCTACCATCTGTCGACGGCATTGTGAACAGTATTTCACAGTTCAATTATGACCCAGAGGCTAATGTCACTTTTGACACATGGTATCAACGTTATGAGGATTTATTCACTGTTGATCTCGCCTCACAAGACGATGCCTGGAAGGTGCGAGTGTTGTTACGTAAATTGGGTCCGGCAGAATATGAACGGTACTGCAACCTAATTTTACCCCAGAAACCACGTGACAAGTGTTTCGATGATACAATAAAGCTGCTGCGTGAACATTTTGGAGACCACTCCTCATTATTCAGCATACGTTATCGTTGCCTCAAGCTGACAATGAATGAAAATGATGATTTTCTTACTCACGTTGGCACAGTCAACCGAGAATGTGAGAGATTTCGACTCAGGTCCTTAACAGATGATCAATTCAAAGCCTTGATTCTCATATGCAGTCTCCAATCTCCTCGTTTCACAGATATCCGAACTCGACTGCTCAATCAGCTAGAACAAAATTCCAAGTTAACATTACATGACATAGCTGATGAATATCAACGGCTGATTAATCTGCAGAAAGACACACACCTGGTCGAATCAACACCTTCGAGAAGCTCTGATATTCGTGCATTACGAAAGAGCAAAAATCTCTCATCATCCAGTCCTGACCCACCTTCTTCTAATGTCCCGCGGAAATCTACACATACTCGTCCAACTTCACAAAATACGACAAAGAAGACCCCACCATCACCATGCTGGCATTGTGGCGCGTGGCACTTTGTAAAGTCTTGTCCGTACAAAAATCATCGTTGCAGCAAGTGCAACATCGTCGGTCATAAAAATGGTTTTTGTCAGCCACGCAAACTCAGATATCATAATCCAGCAAAAGCTCAACAAACTGTTGGTCCTAAATCTCCAAGGAGATCATTGAGTCTACTCGCAACCTGTCAAGTCATAACTCCATGTATGCGGAAATATCTTGACCTTCAGATGAATGGTCATGATGCACGTCTGCAGCTAGATACCGCCTCTGATATTACTGTTATATCAAAGAAACTTTGGAATAATATTGGCAGACCACCAATCGTAAATACTTCTCAGACTGCTGTCAGCGCCTGTGGTGGGCGCCTCAAACTAATTGGTGAACTCGAATGTTCTGTTTCCTTCCGCGATATCAAATTCACAGGAATTTGTTACGTCACCAGGAGTGATTTAAATCTTTTGGGACTTGATTGGTTCGATCGTTTACATCTGGCTGATGTCCCACTTAGTTCTGTATGCAACGCAGTTAACAAGGATGAAAATTCAGCCAACTCCTTTTCTGATTTATGCAAACTATTCGCACCTGTTTTTCAGCCCGGATTAGGTCACTGTACCTCGCTGCAAGCTACCTTTCGAGTATTACCAGACGCAAAACCGGTTTTTCGCCCAAAGAGGCCAGTTCCATATGCATCTGTACCAAAAGTTGACGAAGAATTGGAGAGACTGCAACAACAAGGCGTATTAACACCAGTCACGTACTCGGCATGGGCAGCACCCATCGTCGTTGTCAAGAAAGCGAATGGGTCCCTACGTATTTGTGCTGATTTCTCTACTGGGTTGAATGCTGCATTAGAACAGCACCACTATCCTTTACCTACACCGGATGATTTATTCACTGTTTTAAATGGTGGATCTTATTTTGCAAAACTGGACCTTGCTGACGCATATCTACAAGTGGAAGTAGCCCCAGAATGCCGAGAACTCCTTACCATTAATACACATCGCGGTTTGTTCCAATACAACAGATTACCTTTCGGAGTTAAAACTGCCCCAGCTATTTTCCAACAACTGATGGATACTATCTTGGCAGGTATTCCGGGTGTTGCCGTCTATCTTGATGATATCTTGGTGGTAGCGAATTCTATAAACGAACTTTACAGCAGGACAGAAGCTGTTTTGTCACGCATGCAGGACAACGGTCTACGACTACGCTCAGAGAAGTGTCAGTTCTCCTTGAGATCTGTCAAATACCTTGGATTTATATTTGATGCATCGGGTAGACGTCCAGATCCTGACAACATACGTGCTATAAAAGAGATGCCCGCACCTACTGATGTGCCTTCCTTACGCTCTTTCTTGGGATTAATTAGCTATTACTCTGCATTTCTCCCTGCGCTGCATAATGTTCGACACCCCCTCAATCGACTACTCGAAAAGAATGCAACCTGGAAATGGTCCGAAGCTTGCAGATCAGCTTTTGAAAAGTTGAAGTCTATGTTAACTTCTGAATTGCTTCTGACACATTATAGTCCAACACTTCCAATTATAGTTGCAGCGGACGCTTCAGCAAGCGGAGTGGGAGCTGTCATTTTACATGTCTTCCCAGATGGTTCACAAAAAGCAATAATGCATGCATCTCGAACACTAACTGCGGCAGAAAAGAAATATGCACAAATTGAAAAAGAAGCCTTAGCTTTAGTTTTCGCCGTACGACGTTTTCATAAAATGATCTACGGCCGCCGATTTACCTTGCTGACAGATCATAAACCGTTACTTTCCATTTTCGGATCTAAATCAGGTATCCCGGTACATGCAGCTAACCGACTACAACGCTGGGCAATAATATTACTTGGATACGATTTCGATATTAAATACAACCGAACTAACGAATTTGGTCAAGCCGACGCTCTATCTCGGCTAATTAGCGACTATCCTGCATCAAGTGAAGATATGGTAATTGCATCGATCGCCACCAAAGACTATGCAGTTAACCTCATCGACAATGCTATTCGATCTCTACCAGTAACGTTTGCAGAAATCCAGCGAACTACAAGCACCGATGCCACCTTACGACGTGCTACACAGTATGTATCCAGTAATTGGCCAAAGATTAAATATAGTGGAGACCTAAAACACCTGTTTGCCCGTCGTGATTCCTTATGTGTTGTAAAAGATTGCTTGATGTTTGGAGAACGCGTAGTGATACCTGAAGCATTACGAAATAAACTCCTGAAACAGTTTCACATGGGACATCCTGGTATTCAGCGGATGAAGAGTATTGCTCGCAGCTACGCATACTGGCCTAATATGGATAAGCATATTATCGACTTTGTTCAACGATGTTCAAAATGTCAACAATCAGCAAAGCTACCCCACCAGCTACCTCCCGTACCGTGGCCTCCAGCATCCCATCCTTGGTCCAGAATTCATATTGACTTTGCTGGCCCTACAAATGGTGCATACTATTTAGTGGTGGTAGACGCTTTTTCTAAGTGGCCAGAAGTTATACCAATGGTTTCGCCGACAACGTCCCAGACTCTCAAAGCTCTCACTGACATATTCTCCCATCATGGTCTCCCAGAAACCATAGTTACAGACAATGGTTCGCAGTTTACCTCTCATCAGTTTCAGCAGTTCTGTCATCAAAATGCTATCGAGCATATGTTCACACCGCCGTATCATCCTCAGTCAAACGGCCAAGCGGAACGTTTTGTCGACACTTTGAAGAGAGCCTTACTCAAAGCAGAGGGAGAGGGGACACCATTTGACATCATCCAAAAATTCTTGATGGTGTACCGTACAACGGCGAATGAGTCAACACAGAACAAGAAATCGCCGGCAGAAATTCTCTACGGACGCAAACTTAGAACGATTCATAACTCAATGTTACCACCGACACTCAAACATGCCGACGCATCATTTCGGAATGAAAAAAATTTGATGTTGGTGACCCTATCTATGTCCGCGACTATCGAGGAGGACATAAACCTTGGAATAAAGGTTCCATCTCAGCACGACGTGGTCGAGTTATGTACGACGTGAAAGTTGGAAATGAATTATGGACCCGTCACTACAATCAGTTGCGGCCAAGAAACTCAAATATCCCTACCAGTACACAGTCATCCCTACCTCTGGATATTCTCTTGGATACTTTTAACTTACCTACGACTGACAAAACAGAAAAGCAGAAGTGCGCAGCTCAGACAACGTCAGACAAAGCAGAAGCCGCAAACTCAACAAGCAGACGAAGCAACAGACGTCGACAACAAACTGAACGGTTTCAGATAAACCCCAAGAAAGCACGCTATTAATCATCACTCTTCTCAAAAGGGGAGGTGATATGTATCCACATATATATATATATATATTTATGTGTGTGTGTATTTTGGTCTCTCTTTCTGTTTGCTCGGTTAGTCTGTGACCACTTCACTTGTATGAACTTGTCTCCTTTAATAATGTGTATTCTCCTTATATTATATTATATATAATATGAGTGTTTGTTGACAGTCCGTTGCTTAGTGACATATATCCATATATGGTTGTTGACATGTCTGCTATATTCGCTATGTATATTTGGATCGACACTCCATTATAATTAGCCATTCATGTTAAGACTGTCTAATGATTTTTCCCACGCTTTGTCTGGAACATTCATATATATTTCGCATACACAATTTGTGTGAACTACTTTACTTACTTACCACTTTGGTGTGAGACCATTTATTTTCGTCTCCTTGTGTTTGGACAATAGAAGTATCATCGCAAACCTACTGGTCTTCTGATTTCCGCCTTCTCGCGTCAGGACTATTAGTTTCTCGACCAGACCATAATAACAATTTAGCGACGAGTACATAGCAGTGATATAGGTTGGGTCTGAGTGACCGAATGGTCTACGAGCTCAATTTGTAGGTGGAAGGTTCTGCGTTCGAAGCGGGATTGGGGGATAGGTGAGTTTGCAACTAGACTGACGAAACAGCTGTCCAGTAGTTGAAGGCTTGTTTTCAATAATGGTTCTCGAACTGATATCAATCCGTGAACAAACCTGAAACAAATCAATATCCCTTCAAATGTTTTTTCTTGTAATCATGTTTTTTCAGTTTGAAATAACTGTATTATGCCTTGATTGAGGACTCCTTCGAATTGGGTTGTTTTGAGTTTGGGAAGACTTCTTTTCAAGTTAATTCCCGTATTGATGTTAGTTATGGAATCATGGAAAATGACAATGTAGTAGACAGTTGTTTTCTCATGGTTTGAGGCTCTTCAGTTTTCAGTGTGCACCCATGGTCATCCGTTCAGGCTTTCATTTTGTCAGGCGGATTCGTTGACCCGTCATCGACTGTCGTGGAATGCAATGATGATGAGTTCTAACTCTTGTCAGTTTGTGATGTATACCATCATCGAGCTGTTAAATCACATGGGTCAAAATGTCTTTCTTAAACTCCAGTGATTTCATCCATGATTCAGTCACCAATGGGCATTACATTTATTCTCGAATGATGTAATATGCAACAGGTAAGAATAGATACCATAGCCAAATGACCTTGTACCAGCCAGTCATGAGGTGTCTGATAAAAAGTGGTATTTATAGTATAAAAATATTGTTTAGTGGACATATATATATATATATGTGAAGAAAATGAAAGGGTATGTGTCTCTAATATGCTGCAAAAGGTGGCCTTAGTTTTCCATATGAGCGACTATGCTAAACAGACCAAAATCTATATGAGTGCCAGTTATGAGATCCACTGATAACGATAGTCCCAGTGCTCAGTATTTCGAATAGATGTTACTCATAATCATCGTCACAAGATTCACACTAACCTTAGCCAATAGCCCAACCCTGTGTTAACCCTACCCTAATCCCCTGAATCAGAGTGAAACTTGCAGTGAAGATAATGAAACGCGTTAAATTGTAGTTCTGAGTGATGTGATTGCTTCCTTCAAGGTCATTTGACTGTGGTATGCAACCAATCGTATCGCTTCAAATCAACATTTAAAGACTGCTTTTATTCATCTACATTACTTCAACACATTGTTGGTTGGTTAGTAATAACTAAGGACTCAAGAACATGTAGAGAAGACGGACTGAAATGGCAGTGATTATTCCTCCAGGAGAAAGTAGAAATGACCGGGAATCTGTAGTTCTTTTACATGACCAATAACTAACAATGTTAGTGTATACGAACTGTGTTGTGGCTCATCAGAGAAGTAACAATTAAGATTCTTTGATTCAGATGAGAGTCGAATGTTTCGTCTACATATTTATTCACATTGGTCAGTGGAATCCAGGATGTACATTTCGTCCTATTCGGGAATCGTCAACCTGTGACCGACCATTTTGGTCTAAACAATCGATGGGAAAATCGAAATTAAATTAAAAATTAACAAGACCCGTCGCACAAGAAATGGCTTTCGTGGCCCAAGTGGTCCAGTGGATAATACTTTGGCGTTTGAGACTATATGCACTGGGTTCGAGCCTAGGTGGTAACCTCATCACTCACTGGAGAATGCAGGTGCATCCAGTTGACGAGTCAGTCGCCAATTAGGACGGATTGCGCGTTATCCTGGATTCCAATGCTGGTCACTATCAACCAATTGACTTCAAGTTACATGACCAGACATCGTCTTAGCATATCTGCATACGGAGCCGTCATGTCAACCTGAGACCCCAAGCACTTCGATCCAGTCAATCGATGGGGAAATCTAAATTGAATTCAATGATAAACACTGCCTAGTGGTATATTTCATCTCCTCTTCGTTATGACACAGTTATTCTATTTACCCTCTATTTGAATATTAATACTATTGTTGTTATAAATGTTCTTCTGTTTTTGAAAACTGTTCATTAGGCAAGAAGTTTTCTTGTGATCAGTGTGACAGAAAGTTCTATGGTAAATCTTACTCAGAGAACATATTCAAGCTGTTCATGAAGGTAACTACCACTTCTGTTTCGTTTTGTTTCTTTCTCCTTTTTGACATTTTCATTAATTTTTAAAGCAAGCAAATGTGATAACATTTGTGTGTTTTATTATTATTATTGCTCCCTTGGGTTCCTAGTGGAACATAGGGCTTCAACTGCACGTCTCCACTTGCCACTTCTTTTTTTTGCTGTCCTTTTCACCTGCATCCATGTTAGTTTCACAATGTTTCAACTCCTCTTCACACGATCTCCTCCATGTCACCCTTGCACAGACGTCCCACTGGCCGCTTCCCTTTTGGGTTCCAGTCGAGCATATTTGTTGGTTGGCGATTGGTTCTTGTTTTGTTTGTTCCCATAGTTTCTTGTTGGTGATTGTTTCCGGCCCGGCCATCTGATCTTCAGTATAGAGCCAGCGAAGACAGTTGTTGGTTGATAAAGGTAGGTCTGCAACAGGCTGTTGGAAATATTCTTTGTTACCCGCCCGCGAAGTTTCTGATCCGTATAGAAGAACTGACTTGACGCTTGTATTGAAAATCCGACTGAATTTTGTTGTTGATGTTGAGTGACGAAGATTTCCATATTGGTTTGTTTCAGGTTGATGAATGTGTTTCTCGCCTTCCCGATTCTCGCTCGATTTGACATCCTCGTCCATTCCGACTGTCTGTAGTTGATACAATGCTCCCTAGATAAGTGAATGAAGTGACCTCTTTCAAATCCCTCCCGTTGATGGTGATTGACGGTGGATGTTGCTGTTGTTGTTGTTGTTTGGTTATTTTCATCACCTCCGTCTTGTCTATGTTCACTTGGAGTCCTGTCATCGCCGGCTGCTTCTTCGACCAGTTTGTGGGTTTTCGCTCGCTTGTGAGTCTTCGATTTTGTGTGACATCAAGCATAAATCATCCACGCGTGAAATCCTGGTCTTCTAGGTTCTCCGCGTCGGTCTAGGATATCCCTGTCTGCTCGTTTCCCACTCGCTGTCTGACGCATAATCCAGTTAGTCCACCACAATTAGGAATATCAATGGTGATTATAAGAACCCTTGTCTGACTCCTGTGTTTATTCCAAACGCCTCGCTGAGTTTTCCGTTGTGGATCACATGACATGTGCCGTTGTCGTATAGCCTTTGAGTAAGGTTGATGAATATTTGGGGTACGCCGTAGTACTCGAGTAATTTCCAAATTACTTCACGATCAACGCTGTCGAAGGTCTTCTCAAAGTCTATGAAGTTGAGGTATAGGTTTGAATGACATTCCATGCTTTGTTCTGTGATGATGATGCGTAGAGTTTCAATTTGGTCGGTACATGATTTGCCTTTCCTGAATCCAGCTTGTTCTGGTCTGAGTTGTGTATCCAGTGCGTCGTTTATTCTCTCCAGGATGATGCGACTCAGGATTTTACTTGGCGTCGACAGGAGCATGATTCCTCGCCAGTTCTTGCAGAGTCCTAAGTCTCCCTTCTTTGGTAGTTTCAGGAGGTAACGTTTCCTCCAGTCAGTAGGCACCTTTCCCTCCTTCCAGACTTTTTGCAATAATGGAGTCAGCATGTCTTCTGTAGTCTCTGGGTCCTCCTTTATTGCTTCAAGGGGTATTCCATCTGGTCCAGCTGTTTTTCCAGCTTTCAGAAGCTTGATTGCATTCAAGACTTCAGCTCTCGTTGGAGGATTGGTGTTAACTTGCAGTTGTGTGCGCGCTGTTGTTGGTATTTCTGGACGGGTTGCAGGTGGTGGTCGGTTCAAGAGTACTTTGACGTGATCCGCCGATTCTTTAATCTGTCTTTCTTCCTTGGTAATTGGGTTCCCTTGTCTGTCTTTTACATGTTTCGCTTGTGTTGATCTCTTCCCGGATAGAGATTTGGTTATCTGATATAATGTCGTCAGGTCGCTTTTGCCTGCTGCCTTCTCAGCTTCAGTGGCCAGATTGTCGTAGAATTGTCTTTTGTCCTTTCTAGCATTCTTCTTCACTTCTTTGTCCAGCGCTGTGTAAGTTGAGTTCAGCGTCTCCTTCTCCTGTCCGTCCTTGCATTGAATTATTTTCTTTTTCACCATTCTCCTCTTTTCTATTAGTTTCCAAGTTTCCGTTGAGAGCCTTTCTTTGTCTTGTCTCTTCTTTCTTCCTAAAACCGTTGACTACGTTTAATTGAAAATCACCTTGAGAGAGTTCCAGTGGTCTTCCACGCATGATTCTTCAGTGATGTCGCGTAGTGTTTCCTGCTTTGCTCTGACAGTTGCAGTGAAAGTGTCTTTTGTGGTTGTGTCCTTCAGTAATCGAGTGTCGAACTTGCATTGTGGCCTATCCCCAGCTATCCTCGAGGCTTTTAGCTTCACCTTGAAAGTCCCTTGTACTAGATAGTGGTCTGAACCCACATCTGCTCCTCTCCCCGACCTTGTGTCCAGTAGGCTTCGTCTCCACTTTCTTGAGAATGAGATGAAGTCCATTTTGTTTTTGGTGTTTCCATCTGGTGAAATCCATGTCGTCTTGTGTATTTCTTTGTGTTTGAAAACGCTGCCACCAATCACCAAATCATTGAAGGCGCAGAAGTCTGAGAAGAGTTCACTATTGTCGTTCATTTCACCGAGGGCCTCTCGACCCATGGTGAGTTCTCTTCGTGTATTGTCTCCTCCCAGCTTCGTATTCATATCGCCCATCAGGATTTTGATATCGCCTTTTGGGACGTTGTCCATTATTGCTTGTAGTTGTCTGTAGAACGCCTCCTTCTTCTCTTGTTCTGAGACGTTTGTAGGCGCATAGCATTGAGTGACTGTAACTTTCCTTCCTTTTGAGCTGAACCTGGCTGTCATTGTCCTGGAGGAGATTGTTTCCCACTGCATGAGAGCTTTGGCTGCTGTTGGTGACATCATGACGGCCACTCCCTCGGTGTGCTCGTGATTGTCCTCTGGGTGACTGGAATAGATTATTGTCTCTCCAGTTGGTAGTTGTCACCTTCCAGTTCCGTTCCATCTGCTCTCGCAGATTCCCAACACTTCTATTCTGTACCTTCTCATTTCAGCGGCTATCTGGGCAGCCTTTCTAGTTTCGTACATTGTACGAACATTCCAGGTACCCATCCTTACTTTTGCTTTCATCGAAAGAAGGCACATCGGCTGACTGGCTTCCCGAAGGCTTTCACCAGCCTGCGTCATTTCACTTCCCCGATTCCAGCGAAAAATAAGGCTATTGTTTATAATTTTAGAATTTTTAATATATTTATTCGTTGAAGTTTCTGTAGCGATTTGGTTGTTTTACGAGGGTGGAGCTGCTATCACCACGCCCCAACCCTCTCTCTTAATCCGGGCTTGGGACCGACAAGAAAACTAGCGAGCTAGTAATCTAGGCGAGGTTCCACATGTGTGTGTACTGAGTATAATCGGTTTCCTCATCATTTATGTGTGTAGTCTTCTTCATCAGGTAGGTGAGTTTCACCAAGTACTACTACTGCGCCTTTGAATTGTTCTCATTAGATAGTTGGAAGCCTTGGGTAGAGGTTTTCTGTTTGTTAGTACTCACCAGTCAGCAAGAAGTATCTACAATCTTGAAAGAAGTCATATCCTTTTCTGAGATTCGAACCCATGTCACTAGACGCATGGTAGTAGTTACTAACTAATGTGTAACTGAAAATATCCAATATATTCCTAGATGAGGTCAATCTCGAGCTTGAATAGCTCAATAATAACATCTCTGACTGCAGCGAACGGTGGAATAGGTTCATATCTCACTTCAGAGACACAGGGATTGACTTGCTACCAGGGAATAATCTCGTTGACTTAGAATATGCAGACGATATGGTCCTTTTAGGCGAGGACGCAGACAAAACAGAGCAGAGTCTTCTGAACACCTCGAGCTGCAATCTACAAATGAATGACATGCGATTCGGTCCCGCCAAATGAAAGATGATGTTACAGGACTGGACCACACCGACTCCTCTATTAGACATAGGGAGTGAAGTGGTTTGTGGAGCTTGTTGACCACTTCACTTATTTGGGAAGTTGCATCAGCCAGATTCAATGGGTTGGTCGCTGACGAAATCTTAGCACGAATACAGAGGACTAGTTTCGCATATACTAGTTTACACCGTTTCTGGCGTAGATGTAATATCCGGCTTTCGACCAGAGGGCGCGTGCACTGCTCAGCATTCTGCTTCGTCCTCCCCTATGGCTGCTACAGCTGGCCATTCAAATTAGATGACATGAAAATCTTGACTAGCTGTGTTTGAAAATAGGTGCCTGCGCTCTATCTCCCATGTGAAGTGGATTAACAAGATGAGCAATATTGAGGTGAGGCATCGGTCCAGTACTAGGTAAGTGGGTTGGGAAATCAACAGTCGAGGCTGTGAAGCTACATCGACTGAGATGTTTAGGACATGTGCTACGTATGCCTAGCCATCACCTTCCTCGACAACGGCCAATGTTAGCTGACATAGGGTCAGGTTGGGAAAGAGCCAGTGGTGGTCAAACGAAAACACGGCTTCATCAGTCAGTCAATGAAATCCACAACAGTTAGTTTAAGCCAGTGACGTAGGAAGGTGTAGACTTCCTGACTGACTGGTTGGGGTCCTCGTGATGATAAAGACCAATGGTTGTAAACATTTGGTGATATGGCTCAATGGCTGGTGCAGATGCATCCACTCCTTGTGACTTATAATATCCAAACAGCATCAAAAATAACTTGCTTAGTGATCTGAGCTCACTAGTGTTTATAACTGATCAGTGAAATGAAAGTATTACGGTTACCAAGGAAGCGAGTGAGAGATTGACTACACTCTCTTTTTGTGTGCATAAGTTTGGTCTGAGATGTTTGATTGCAATTGCTTCAGCAGTAAATCGTTATAGATTCTCTGTCCTTTGTATGTTTAATATTTCGAAGGATTTGGAAATCTTGACATAATGACTCGAGGTATCCACAAGGTGTCTGGTAATTGCATTTTGTAAATATATCTGCTTCTTTTTGAGCATTAGTTTCTTGGAATATGCTGTGAAAACCGTAAAGAAGCCTTTCTTTCTGTCCTTCCAATGTAATTGCTGGTGCAGGTGCACGTAAATTTATAAATGCAGTTGGAGGTAACATCAGCAGGGTACTTATCCACTTTCGATTGGCTTATAGTGCATGTAGTACTGTATAGTTTCACCAGATTGCCTGCAGGGAAGCATCTCTTTATTGCTCCTTTCATCCTCTTTTGAATCTTTTGCGATACTATCTCTCCTTTGTGTAAGATGCAAATGAACACTTTCTTCTTTTCAACTGTTGGATACTTCTCTTTCTTTGCTTTACTTAAGGATAAATCCTTGTGGATACCCGTTTTCCTGAAGGCATTTTTCAACAAAACTTAATTTTTCTTCTCCCTGGTTAGGCTAACATAACTTTCTGTCCCTGTTGTACAGTGTCCTTACTAATCCCTGATGATAGCGATATCTGCTTGAATATATTTGCTGAGATTTCTTTCATTTTTGGTTGAAAAGATCTACAACTCTCTGGTACTAATATTTCTTTACTCATACTGTTGTCTGTTTCTGCCTTCTATTCTATTGTAGCGTAATCCAATCAATACCAGTTATGACTGCTATTACCACTCATTGGACATTGGATGCTGACGTATTCATTTCGTAATGAATACACAAATGATTCCTTTTATTTCCTAATCTCTTAATCAGAATGGAATGAATGGGATTATTTCAATGTTAACGACTACCTACTTGATGTTTCTTTTTTATATTTTCTTTATATTGCTTCCCTAGGAATCGACCTCATGTTTTCTGTGTAAATATTCTCTTACTGTATTTGTAATCTGTGTATATATGAATGATACTTTTTAGTGTTTTCTAATACAATTCACACTTATGCTTACTTGTTTTGTGTATTCTGTTCATCATCCATTTAAGGTAAAATACATTGGAGTCTAAGTCGTGACTGGATTCGAACTAATGACCTCTGGATTACTAGTCCTCGGTGTTCTGTCACTTGAGGTATAAGTTGTCACGGAAAGAGGGAAATCAGAAGACCACCAGGTTGACGATGATACTTGTATTTTCCAAACAAGGAGAATAAGTGTCACGCTAGTGTGTGAGTGAAATGGTACGCAATGTACGAAATGTGTGTGAACAAGAATGTACAAGGGTCTAATACAAAAGTATATATGAAAATGGCTAATACACATGAACCAATAAGATAACGTGTTACCATGATTGGTTGTAATGTCATGTGATAATAAGGTCATACATTGTTTATTTAGTTAGTGGACAGACAAAAGCATGTTGTCAGTTATAATGAAATATCGATCCATATACACATACCAAAATATAATAGACTGTCAACAACAAAACACACACATCATGTGGATACATATCACTTCTTCAATCCCACTACCAAGTATAATAGCGATGATACTCAACACCGTACCAATACTTGAATATCGATCTGATGCTGACTGGCGACTGATTGTATTCAGGTAAGTAGTAGTTACGTTAGTTCCAGTGAGAATTCGTGACCAGTAGGGTACAGCAGGTCGGTTGTGATAACATCAGCTAGTGGTCGCGCTTTATTTCGCGTGAATTGACAGAAGTTGGAATTCGTGGATCGGCCATTGACGATTCAGGTAGCAGTGGCTTAATGGTCTACGAGCTAACCTTGCAACGAGAGTGTCTTGAGTTCGAAACCCCATGGGCGCGTACTGATGGAGAGTCCCGAACTGGGCTGAAACAGCTATCCAGTGCTGTGTTTTCAATGGTCCTGTAATCAATGTAGCCAATCAAATCCCTGCACACCAAGAACTGAATTTTGGTTTTGTTGTCTGATTTGAGCGTATGCCTAGTTTACGTGCACTATGGTTTGGTGCGGCATATTTATCAATTTTTAGATGATGGCCGTAATGGAAGTGTAGTACATACATCTGGTTCTGTTTTAAACAGATTTTCATCTGGATACGAGTGTTTTGTTGTTGACATGCAGTAGTGTGAGCCATTGTGTCAATTGGCGTCAGTGTGATCACATGTGTACCGAGTATAACTAGTTTCGTCATCATTCATGTGTGTAGTCTTCTTCATCAGGTAGGTCAGTTTCACCAAGTACTACTGTGTCTTCGATTCGACACTAGTTAGTAACTAGTACCAAGCGTCTAGCCCTCTGTTTGGTGTAGACCAAATTCTATCGGTCAATTTTGTAATGTGGCCACCATGCCACTGAGTGACTCGTCATCATGGTGCACTGTGAGTTCTTGTTATTAAATGGTTGGAGGCAGTCGATAGGAAGCCTTGCTTTCCCTAGGTTTCGTGCTAGATAGCACCCATCAGTCAGCAAAGCGTATCTGCAACGTTGAAGGAACTCTTATCCCTCCTGAGATTCGAACCTGTGTCACCCAGTGCTGCAATCGAAGATGGTACCACTGAGCTATACGGGCTCAATTGTTTGAATATTTAGAATCTTGATATTTCGTGTGGCTACGACTCATCATCACTTTGTATATTAAGTATATAGAAAGGACGTTCTCTTTTAGGCTATCTGTTACTCTTCTTCATCTCAGGTCAGAATTAACTTTTCTCTATAGTTTTGAAACTTGAGTGGTATGTGACAGTATTGAACTGAAATCGATAAGCTAGGCGATTGATTACTCTGAGATCGTGTAGGTTAGAAATATAAGGGTAAAACTTGGCCACTGTGTGGTAGAGTATAATTCCATTGCTGATAAAATTTATTACACAGTGTTATACAGTAGTAGAATAGGTTAGAG